ATCAATCACAAGCTTTTTCAGAAAGATTTGCTTATTTTACTTTTTCTATAAATATTTTAAAATATCTTTCTTAATAAAATGAAATACTATTATAATTAATATAAATATCACAACTTCTATTGTCCAAAAACACTGAGACTGGAGCAGATTTCAAAATGGGCAGTCATTGATTTTACCTGTGAATGTTACTACATCCTTCACTTCTCTACCTTCACCAACACTAATCAGTTCAGAGCCAAACCACATTTATCTTTCTCTCCCCCTTATCAAGTATCAATGAAAGAACAATCTATACACACTGATACCAGATAATGGAATTAACAGTTCTGCTTTCTGATTTTTGCTCAGCTCTCTGTGCATTTCCTGTAAATGTTGGTGGAAAAGATATGCCAAACTGCATTCTGTGTGTTTCCATCTGTCACAATAAAAATTAAGTTCTGCTTTCTGATTTTTGCTCAGCTCTCTGTGCATTTCCTGTAAGTGTTGGTGGAAAAGATATGCCAAACTGCATTCTGTGTGTTTCCATCTGTCACAATAAAAATTCAGACAGGCTCTGGGAAAGGGATTGGAAGAGGGAGAGAAAAAGATGAGCAGAAAAAAGAAAGAGGGAGAGGGCTGGAAGGATGCGTGTTTTAGTGAAATTGATAAATTTAACGTTTTACAGCTTTTAGTGGTTTTATAAGATTTTGGTATCTTTAGTCATTTACGTAAGCAAAGAGTTATGCAAAAAGCACACACGAAGACAGTATTAGAAGTAAAAGAGGTCAACTGAGGGGGAAGGGCAAACATCTCAAAGATGAAATGGAGTGATAGCAGAAGTAGGAAAAAAAAAAAAAAGCCTTTGAACCTGATATGGGTCTAACGTCTGTGAAAGGATAGGGGGAAGGAAGGAAGACGGAGGATGAAAGGCCTAAAACTAACTGCAGTGAGTCTATGAGAAAGTGTCATTCAGACCAGTGGAGATTGCTAGAGATAAGTTTGCCTGTTCCAGGAGTCTCGCATTGGGCATAAGTGGCCAGCTCTATTATTTCCAGCATGTTCAGACATTGGTTGGGAGCAGTTTGGGGAGACTGTGGCCCTGGAATCAATGCTGCAATGGATTCTGGAGGTGTGGCAGCTGGAGAATGTCATCCAACTATACTGCTGTCAGCATATTTTCTCTAAGGGATATCTAAGTGTTACATATTCATGGCTACCCAGCATCAATTTGATAATGCTACTTTAATAAATGATGGTAAGCAAAGTTATGTGAGTACCTTCTCCAAATATAAATCATCTTTCTAATTAGAATGGCACTCCTTCGGAGCTATGATTGCTTATACCTTAAGTTCATCCTTCCTTGGATGTTTGTAGTCAGAGTTCTACTGGTTGCATTATGAGGAGCATTGCAAGGCTTCTGTATATATATATTTTTCTTTCTAAAAATACCTTTAAAGAATTCAGGCAAGTCTGTAAAACAGTGGTAAGGTTAGGGAAAGACAGTTTGGGAGAGGAGATTCTTAACTTCTTTGGTCTTTTCCTCTACTAGTCATCCAGATTCTTCTCTGTGGGATAGTTCTCATGGCACTGTTTCTTGAACCCACGTAAAGGAAGCTTTATTCTCTGTCCATGGTTCTGAACTAAGCTCTGTCTGCTTTCCTTAACCCCAGAAGTGTACTGAGTCCTGTCCAACCACTACCAGGATTATTGAACCTTGTCAGGAAAGAGACGGTGGTGAGAGACGTGATATAAAACAGAGAGAGGGAAAAATGGAGAGGGATACTGTTGAAGGGCAGGACATGAAGAGATTGCCAGATAGAAATAGAGAAGTTTCTGTTTTGACCTCATTTTCAAATAGATACAAATGCCAAAAAAATAAGAAATATGTGCTGTGCTTTCCAAGGTTGTTCAGTTATTGCCATGAACAAATAAATTGGTGAATGTGAAAAGGCCAATTATCAGCCAGAGTTTTTTACAATTCCTTTGTTTTCTTTTTTAATTTACCTTGATTGAAGTAGTGATTTTTGTTACTGTTGTAGAACCTAATATGAGTTAGATTGTATAGCATATGGATATAGCTGGTTTAAAATAC